AGTGAAGCCTGTTGCCTTCAAGTCAATTTTGAGTCATGGCAACACCATGTGCTTGTTACAGAGTAGAACTGTGCCAGAGCACCTGTCCTGCAGGTCATCTCTCTCAAGGGCCCTCTCCAGGTCTTCTGCAGCACCACCAGATGCACCAGCAACCTTCTTGGTGCCCTTGCCCACTCACTGAATAGACTCAAAACTCCCACTTCTACCCCTCTGGGTGCATTTTGGGGAGTTTATTCCAAATCAGAACCCTCAGCTATGAGGAACTGACAAGAACTGACAAACCAATCTCTGGTTCAGGTCTTCCTTGTTTAAGGTCAGCCTCCTCGATTTGAATGGATTTAATAAAACCAAGGCAGCTCATATGTTCTCCTGCACCGCATTCAAATTCACTTGTTCGTTGCTTAGCATCATTACTTTCACTCCACTGCCTGAGCTAAATCTTCAACTCTCAACTCCTCCTCTTCATCATGCCCCAAACCAAGTATGGTGCTAGTATCAACTCTTCTTCATTAAGTAGAGTTTCCGCTTCTGTATGGAGGTCTCCACCAGCTATTATTTGGATGGTTGCTGCTCATATCCCCAAGGAAATGACATAGTTTTCTAATTCCCCTGATAGCCTTGCCTCTTCTTTTACTCCCTCAAATATATTTCCCCCCACAGTGGTTGTCATAGTGATTTTTTTAACAGCAAAGAAAAAGAAAAACTGGTCATTTTATTGTTTCAATCTCTGCAGGATTCCTGTGGCACACAGAGCTAGATTTGAGCTCAAATCTGGAGAGAAAATTAGACATTGATTTATGTATCTTTCTAGCTTTTCCATGAACCACACACTCCACAAACCAGGGGACCAAGTGTATCTTGCTCTTTACCCATCACTGTTTTACACATCCTAGATCCTCCTCCTAACCCCTCCCTGCCCTTGGTCCCCACGTAAGTGTACAAACTCTATGAAAACAAAAACAAAAGACTCTCTTTTGTGCATCACTGTACACCTAACACAAAAAGAATGTTCCCAGACAGTTCCTGAATGCCACTGGTATTTCAAATACTATCGTGGTCACAAAGGTGAGCAGGTTTTCAGCAAGGCTTTCAGACTGATTGACTAGGAAGAAGAAATAAGTTGTCTACTTAGAAGGGATTAGACACTGAAAACTTTAAGGGTGGAAGGCATTCAAGGGAAAGCTGCCTCCTCAATGTAGAATCAATCATTCAAAATAAAGAGAAACAACTGCATACAGCCATTACCAATCAGAAAGTGGACTGTCTGACTTAGGAAACTAGGAAAGTTGGAAGTCTTCAAAAATGAAATAGAATGCACCAAAGGCATCAGTGACCTGAAGTATTGATCATTTTTAATAAAACAATCATATGGTTAACTGTTGTCAGAAATGACCAATTAGAAAAAAATGGTATCACATTCATCTTCAAAAAGAGCATTTTAAGTTCTATCTTAGAAGTCTGGCTCAGTGATCATATAGGACAGGGGCTCAGTGATCATATAGGACAGGGTAGAACTTTTCTGTGGGATTCTGACACTGTAACTCTTTAAGGAATAGAAAGCCTCATCTTTCTCCCATGGGGTGACTGGTGGTTTTGAACTACTGACTTTGCAGTTATCAGGCCAACTCATAATCTATTATTACTCAGGGTAACTATGAGTCAGAATCGCTTCAATGGTAGTAAGTGCTGTCTGTGGTGGGATAATATCTATGTGCCTACAAGAGAAAGCAGACAATACAACTATAATACAATGTTATGCACCAATCACTAAAGCTAGTGATGCGGAAATGTCACTCTGAAATTGATCGGATATGTAATCAAGATACATCGATGACCACTGGTTATTGGACGTGAAGGTTGGAAACAAAGAAGAAGGCTCAGTAGATTGAAAATATGGCCCTAGTTTGCCTGATAGAATTTTGCATGACTAATGACTTCTTCTTTTCAAATATCTTTTTGTTTCTACAACATAAGCAGTGCCTACACACATGAATCTCACCAGATGGAATATATAGGAACCAAATTGATGACATCTGTGAGAATAGATTATAGAGAAGTTCAATAACATTAGCTAAAACAAGGGTAAGGGGGGCTAAGGAACTGACCATCTGTTGCACATGTGTCAGTTCAGGTTGAAACTGAAGAAAATAAATCAAGTCCAAAATACAGTCTTGAATCTATCCCGCCTGAATTTTGAGACTATCTCAAGAACAGGCTTGACACATTGAACATTAATGATGGAAGACTCGATGAGCAATGGGATGACATCAAGAACATGCATGAGGAAATAAACTATCACTAAAAAGAAGAGAAAGAAAAGGCCACAGTGGATGTCAGAAGAGACTCTGAAACTTGCCCTTGAATGTCCAGTAGCTAAGGCAAATGGAAGAAATGGAGTAAAAGAGCTAAACAGAAAACTTCAGAGGTCAGCTTGAGAAGACAAAATAAAGCATTAGATGTGAAAAGATCTGGAGAAAGCCAAAAAGAAAGAAGACAGTCAGCACATATCAAGGTAAAAGAGCTAAAGGGGGGGGAAAAAATCAAGCCTTGAGTTGCAATATGGAAGGATTCTATGTGTAAAGTATCGAACGATGAAAGAAGCATACAGTCACTGTACCTAAAACAAGTGTTGATGTCCAACCATTTCCCAGGGTCACATATGATCAAGAACTAATGGCAGAGAAGGGAGATGCCTACACTGCACTGAAGGCATTAAAGAAAGGCATGGCTCCAGGTAGTGATTAAATACCGGTTGAAATGTTTCAACAAGCTGATGCAGCACTGGAAGCACCCATTAGTCGAGGCCAAGAATTTTGGAAAAACAGCTACCTGGCTAACCAACTGGAAGAGACCGATATTTGTGCCAATTCTCAAGAAAGATAACCCAACAGAATGAGGAGATTACAGAATCTCACGAGTATCACATGTAAGTAAATTTTTCTGGAGCTAATTTAGACAATGGTTGTAGCAGTTCATCAACAGGGAGCTGCCGGGAACCCAAGTTGGATTCAGAAGACAATGAAGAAAAGCAAGTAAGCACTTTCTGATGATCAAAAACCAGTCTTCAGAGTGTTGCTGCCACAGATGGACCTTGGCTGAAATAGGAGAAAACCAAATGGATGTTTACCTGTGTTTAATTGACCATGTAACTGTAATCATCCATGTGGATCATAAAGAACTATGGAGACACATTGTGATGAATGGGAATCCCATGACACTTAATTGTGCTTATGAGGCATGCGTACCTAGACCAAGAGACCGGCTTTTGAATAAGGAATACTGCATTGTTTAAAGGAAGGAGAACTGCACGTGTTGTGTCCTTTCACCATCCTTATTCAATCTATGCTGAGCACATCATCTGAAAAACTGGAGGATAGGAAGAAGAATGTGGCATCGGGATTGAGGAAGACTCATTAACAACCTACTATGTGCAGATGACACATCCTTGCTTACTAAAAGCAAGTAGGCACTTTCTGATGATCAAAAACCAGTCTTCAGTATGGATTGCAACGCAATGTGAAGAACACAAAAATCCTCACTACTGGACCAATAGACTACACATCATGGTAAGTGGAAGACCTCTGGACAAGACAGATTGACACTGGCTGCAACCATGAGCTCAAACGTAACCATGATGTGGATGGCGTAGGCAAGAACGGTTTCTTTCTGTGATACATGTGGTCACTATGAGTTAGAACCGGCTCAGTGGCACCTGCTTACAACAAAGCTAGTTGCTGAAAAACCACCAGCAGAGTAAGTAAGTCAATATATCGTTTCAAGGATCTGTCCCAAAGCCATCTCCTTCCTCTTCCTGTGCTGAGCAGGGAATGGGCCTCTCCACTGAGCTTCTAACACACAGCAAATATGTAAATACCTCGATATTTATAACATGCCTTTTTATTCACACATGCATTTTTCTGATTAAGTGAGCTCTTTGATGGATGAAACACCATCTAATCTCCCTGTGGTGTTGCTGGTTGCATCAAGACAATGCTACCTCATGGTGACCACGTGTTGTTGCAGACTAAGATTGTTCTGGAGAGGTTTCAAGGCCTTTCACAGGCAGATTTCCAAGGTTCTTTTCAGAGAAGCCTCTAAATCGGGTCAACTAGTAGTTGAGCAGCTGGCACTGGTACCACAGGGACCTATTCATCCTACAGTGTCCGTATTGTCCCTAATGAGGGGGAGAGCTAGAAGATGGTTTTGACTAGATCAATTAGTGACTACATGAATGATGTATACTTGTCAGGAGGAAGGACAAAATAGAACAATTTAGTCTGTGATCTCTCTTTCTCACACACATAAATGTCAATGGGAAGGAAGACACATGAATCACCTATATATTCAAAACGTTTCAAGGACTTGGCTGGGCAAGAGCCAGCTATTACGCAGTGTTGACCTTTAATTCACCTTTGTAAAACATAGTCTAAAAAGACTTTCTGGCTCATAAAATAAACTAGGTAAGTTGTAAGCCCCTCAATTTGAAATTTTTTATAATGGAACTTCTGATAGATTTTGACCTTTAATGGGCTTCTCTTTATTATACACTTATTATAAAAGAAGGTTCTACTCTTTTATAACAAAAGAACTGCAGTTCGTGGATATTTTATGACATGTTTCAGTTGCTTTTTGCCTTGAGTCACCTCAACAGAAATAACATAGAGGTTTCCCAGTGGAATTTTGAATAAATCTGCACACTGACAGCGAAGCAGAAGGGAAAATGCTCACGGGCTTTATTCAAGACTCCTTTCAGTTACAATGCTGGGCTGCCAGGCCTGGGTTTGCATGAGAACCCACACTTTGGGTGACCACTGTCTGGTGGTAAATGGAAGCCAGAAAATGCCTTCTCATTTTTTGTAAGCATGCTTACGCAGCACTGCCTAGGGATGGCTGAAGCCTAGGCATTGAGTCCACAGGTGATGTGCTATAAGCATCAAAATGTCTTTAGAAACAAACCTGGTAAATTTGAATGTAGAACCACACATAAAAATAGACACCTCAAGCATGTCATTGTATATTTATTTCTCTTTTTAAAGAACACTCCTTAATGTAATTCAATATACAAACTTGGTTTCACAGAAGCATCCACTAGATAGCACAAAGATAATCCAGGTTGTGTGTGTGCGTGTACACACATGTGCGTGCATGTGCACATGTGGCCACACCCTTTCCCTCTCTCCCATGCGAGACCTGCAACCAAAGGCTCCCCACCTTCAGGCACCCATCAAAAGCCATTCTGAATGTCATGTACAGAACACGTCCTCTTCCCACCGCAAGTGTTCAGTCTCTTGAAAGCTTCTTTCCCCCATTTCCCCTGAGGTAGCCAGGAGTGCGCCACTCTTTCCCATTCAGAAGGGTAAAGTGGCTTCCCCTAAAGCTGATGCCAACCCTGTTACCATGTGGACTAGCGGACAGGAAGAGTTGGTGAGCAGGTCTCCACCCCCCACGCCTGCTCCACACCCCACCCTCAAGTCCAAGCACAATCCCTCTATAGTAGCCTTAGCTCCAGTCACCGTCTTGTGCAGCAAGAACAAGCCGACTGCAAGCCCAGGTCTTTTCCAAGGGCAGTGCACAGCACTGCCTGCCAGGCCACCGGGCTGGCCAATAACCAAGCTTTACACAGTCCCATGTGCTTTGTCACTTTAATATTTAAAGACACTCTAGCATAGGTCTGTGGCAACCTAGTGTCCAACTGAGTTACATAAAATTGTACCAGTGATGCACTTGTACATATTTACATGGGCCGGAATGTTTTCCCATAGTTTTAGATGAGTATATAGATCAGCATGTTCACAGAAGACCAAATACTTTTAATATTATTTATAACTGATTTAGAAAGCTTTGGAAAAACTCACAATAGCACATTGTTTACTTTAATGCTTTACGGTACTATCAGTTTAAAATCACAATCAGCACTTAAGTTATAGTCAATCCAGCAAACAAGAGACAAAAAATTTACAAGTTAAGAACTGACTGATAACATCCTTTATCTTTTTTTTCAACTAATGCATAAGTGCAGAATAAGATACTCTAGTTTAAATATCTTGTTTACAATATACATTTTTGTTCTAGTTACGCAACAGTAAATCCCATGCTTCACATAGAAAAGCAATCCACAACATTAAGAAAAAATGTACAATTTATGAAACAAAGTAAATAAATATTAGTATTACAGAATCAGAGCTGTACATAAAAGCTGTTCAGTTTTTAATCATATAAAAATATGTTTTAGTGCAACCTCACATATATATTGATGCTGTTTTGCTTTACATCATTTAGATCCAAGTGTCCAAAAAATGGAAAGAAATTACATTTATTACAAAGCAGATACACAAATTCTAAAATATGTACAAATTACTGCTAAAAAATGCTTATAAGAATATAAGCAAAGTAAAGAAAAGGCACAAACATCTGTACAATTTTAAAAGTACCAGACCCAATAGGTTAATTCCAAACTTTGTTTTGGTCAGGCTCATGATGACTTGTTATGTTTACCTAATTCTCTTGATATAACAAAAGTATATATAAGAGCAAACTACTGTAACTTAGGACAGGCATGCTATCAACTTGGTTACCTCTATCTCTAGGAAAAACCAAATCCCCCCCCTAAAAAAAAGGGGGTGAAAAGTGTGTCAGTGAAAGTCTCCATGCATCTTAGATCAATGTAATTGACTCTTTTCTGACGAAGGTTCGGTGCCTTCCTCTGTGCTTGAGAACTCCTGGCTGCTCTGAAGGCCCAGCTGTCTGTCATTCACACAACCCTTGCTGTAAAACGTGGAATGGGCTACGGTGGTCTGTGATGTCCCAGAATTGTCCTTTTCCCCATCGTGCAAGTCAGGGTGGGTAGCTGAGGTGCAGGGCTGCCCTAGCTCAGGTCCACTGAAGTGCCTAACACTACTAGCGTGGGCATTTTCCGCGGGCTTCTGCTGGGACTCCTGCACACGCACTGGCTGATCTGCCCCAAGCAGAGCGGCCTCTTCGGTGGCAATCCGGAGCGAGGCAATGGCTTTTGTACACGTCTGGATGCTTTCCTCCTGTTCCCTCTCGGTGGCATTGAAGCTGTCTTCGGAAGTGCTCTGTTTCATCAACAGCAGAGGAGAAGAGGGCGCGCTAGGCGGACCGGAGGACTGAAAGATGGGAGGCAACCGCTTCTCGTGCTGCTTTGCAATCATGGAGGCTTCTTTAGCGAAGGACTCGTCCGAAGCCGCTCTCTTCTCCTCGGCGCCCTCCATCGGCAGAGGCAAAGTGGGTGGAGGGTGTAAACCGGAAAGGGCCGGAGGCATGGAGTGAACCATTTGGATCCCACCAACGGGCACCATGGGGATAGGGGCTCGCACTTGTTGCTGAGAGTGGAGTGGAAGATGGCTGAAGACATAGTCATGAGGAGCCTCGGCGAAAAGGCTGGGGCCTGGATGTTCATAAGCACCTTCTGGGTCTCCATAGAGACCGAAGTAAGGAACCTGAGGTGATCCTCTTCTTAGATTCTGCACAAAGAAACAGAGCACACTGTTCAGAAGCCAGGACTCGGAGACATTCTCACGCTTTCATTCATTCAGAGCACTTGCAGGCTACCTTGTCTTTTCCTCGTCCCCCACCCCCACCCCACCCCCATTTTTCAAGACAAAAAAGACTTTCTGTCGCTGTCCACACCGTTGGAACGGCCTTGTCAGCCCGGGAAGGCTCCTCTGGTTTTGGACAGCGATGTGCTAGAGCATTCCGTGTGGTCTCCACTAGTTAAGAGGCACTTTTAAAAAATTGTTTTTTTTCCATGAAGGAGGTGAATATAAAATAATGGATGACAACTTTAAAAACTTTAGACTAATAATGAACTTGGTACTTTATCAGTCTAACAGCCCCAACTAGGTAAACATGTACCCATGTGTTTCAGAAACACAAAAAACATCTGTTTTTATACCGGCAGATTTTCAAGTATTTTTCTTAAGTGTTGTTATTATTGGATTGACAAGATGGAAATATCGGTGCTTTCTTTTCATTTTCTATAGAAGTGGAATCAAAATGGTGGTGGTGCCCCATGGATTTGGAGCTCCACTGTGGAAATAATGGCTTAAAGCAGTGGTTCTCAATCTTCTTAATGCCGTGACCCTTTCATACAGTTCCTTATGGTGTGGTGACCCCCCAAACCATAACATTATTTTCGTTGCTACTTCAGAACTATAACTTTGCTACTGTTATGAACTGGGTGACCCCTGTGAAAGGGTCATTCAACCTCCAAAGGGGTCGCAACCCACAGGTTAAGAACTGCTGGGTTAAAGGAATACGCTCTTGCTCAAGAAACCTTTCATGCTGAAGGCCAGTTCAAATCACGAGTCAGAGTTATTTAAATTCTTACATCAATGGCGCTTATCTCCATCAGAACAGTATTCACTTACAGTTTTTCAAATAATTGCAATTCATATTCAACTACATAGTTGCCAACTGAAGGTGATTGTGCTTGGATTCTTCTTATGTTATCATGCTCATTTAAATATCGTCTTAGCTATTGCTGAATTAAAAATAACTTAGAAATCTGGGCCAGTGTTCCAGATGCAGGCTTAAAAAAGGCAGAACAAACTGTCTACACTTGGTTGCCCACAATTTAGAAACACACAATCAGATTTTAGGTTTTAATGACTGAGATCCATTCTTTTAATAGGTGGGCACACAAAAGGGAGAAGTAAATACGTTTATTTACTTATTTTACGAACTTAAAGCAGATATAAACCTGAGAGAAACAATTTTTATCCAGTTCATTTCAAGAGCATTTCACTTCTATAGCTCACAGTGTGCTTTATAGTATTAATGATACATTCATCCACCTCTAGTCAGATTTTGAAACTGGTTCAGGAACTATACATTATGCATTATCTCTAATACGCTGTACCACACTTGGCCTTTTTAGTGCTTTGGGCAATACTATATTTGACTAGAAACAAATTACTTCTTTAGAAGGATAGGTGAAATGATGCATTCATCATTTCTATAATCATAAGTAGCTTGTAAGTTAGGAAAGACTGGGTAGAGGTTTATGATACAAGAGAGAATGGTTTAAATACTATAAAAGCTCACTGCTGCTTCCACTCTGGCTAGAAAAAGTACGTCTCCTTTGTCAAACACCAATTATTTGAAGATAAATGAATCTTTTAAAAATTAATTGGCAGTGCTTCAACATTAAAAATTAAATGTAGCTTTGTGATTTGGCGTTTGGTTGCTATTGAGGGATGTCTTATCCCATAGACCTCATCCGGATGGCTATCCAGGAGGAAGCCATGTGAGTGAGCTAGCAGCACCAGTTAAAGAGAAAGATGTTCTATTACATGAAGTTACTTGAGCTCCCTCAAAGCTGGCAAGGAGTGATAAATTGGCCTCTAGCACTAGAATATATTTACTATATTCCAAACTCCATACCATTTTATTTCTGTTAAGAATAAAGTTTCATATTTAGATCTCTAGTGATCAGTAATCAAATGATTACAACCACAGAGATAAGTAGACATGTAGAATTTCCATCCTTAGCCATTTCTACTGACTGTTCCCCACCCCCACCCCCCACCCCCAGGTTATGGGTTATTTTTTTGGTTTTTTAAATCATTTTATTGGGAGCTGGTACAACTCTTATCACAGTACATACATGCATCCATTGTGTCAAGCACATTTGTTGCCATCACATTCTCAAAACATTTTCTTTCTACTTGAGCCCTTGGTATCAGTTCCTCATTTTTCCCCCTCCCTCTTCCACCCTTCCTCCCTCACGAACCCTTGATAATTTATAAATTATTATTATTTTTTCATGTCTTACACTGTCCGATGTCTCCCTTCACCCACTTTCTGTTGTCCATCCCCCAGGGAGGGGGTTATATGTCGATCATTGTGATTGGTTCCCCCTTTCTCCCCCACCTTCCCTTACCCTCCTGGTATCTCTGCTCTTATTATTGGTCCTGAGGGGTTTATCTGTCTTGAATTCCCTGTGTTTCCAGCTCTGATCTGTACCAGTGTACATCCTCTGGTCTAGCTGGATTTATAAGGTAGAACTGGGATCATGATAGGGGGGGGGGGCAGCGAGGTGGGGAGGAGGAAGGATTAAAGAACTAGAGGAAAGTTGTCTGTTTCGATGGTGCTATACTGCACCCTGACTGGCTGGTCTCCCCGTGACCCTTCTGTAAAGGGATGTCCAGTTGCCTACAGATGGGCTTTGGGTCTCCACTCTGCACTCCCCTCATTCACAATGATATGCTTTTTTGTTCTTTGATGCCTGATACCTGATCCTATCGACACCTTGTGATCACACAGGTTGGTGTGCTTCTTCCATGTGGGCTTTGTTGCTTCTCAGCTAGATACATGCTTGTATTTAGACCTCTATAATGCCCTTTGCCTCCTAGTTCCTTCCTCTATTTCCTTTTACTTTCCTCTTGTCCTGCTATCATGTTGAGCCTTCATTTGGGTTTCACTAATTCCTTTCGGTTACATTGCCCTCAATCAAGCCCTACCAGGCCTCCTACACCTTCCTCGCCATCCATTTTAGATCACTTGTTCCCTTGTCCCTGGGTTTGTTAACATCCACTTCCTTTCCCCCGCCTCCCCTTCTTCCATGTCCCCCTGGAACTGTTGGTCCCATTGTTTGCTCCTCCAGATGGTTTATCCCACCTATCTTCTCTAGATAGACCTGCAGAGATAATAATATGCACAAAAAACAAGACAGAGCAAAACAACCAACAAAACAACTCTTTCCTATACATCCTCTTTTCTCCCATTCACTCACTCTCTCCACCTTGTAAATGAATTCCCAATGCCTTCTCTTTACTTTGGTGTTTACTCCATTTGCAACCCTATTCCATTCTGTAATTTGGGTCTTATCATAACATGATGAACAAATTCCTATCTTACATAAAACTCTGTTAAGAAAAGTCTTGATGTTGAAATTGGAAGAATGAGTTCAATGAGGATTGCATCAAAAGCTTATCTAATAAAGCTCTCACTGCCATCAGGGCAATTCTGATTCACAGCAAGTCTACAGGACAGAACTTGCCCCTGGGGGTTTAAAGCTTTATGGGAGCAGAAAGCTTCATCTTTTTCTTGAGATAGGATGATGGTTTCGATCAAATGACTTTGAGGTGAACAGCCAAACACATCACCCATTATGTCATTACTAGGGTCATCGTGAGTCAAAATTGACTCAATAGAAATATCTGTAGCCATGTTATTGTTGCTAAAGGCCATTGAGGTTGGCGGCCATTCATTCTATACAACGTAATGAAGCACTTTGGCATCTTTAAGACTGGTTGAGGATTAAACTATTGCATTCATGGATTGATTTTCAAACGTAGATCTTCAAGCCTTCTTCCTTAGTCTACCTTAGTCTGAAATCACTGCTGCAACCTGCTCAGAGTCATAGCAACATGGAATCCCCTGCCAACAGACAGGTGGTGACTGCATATGAGATGCGCTGTTTGGGAAGCAATGCCAGGACTCCAGCATGGAAAGTGAGAATTCTACCACTGAGGTACCACTACCTAATTATCTATATCCGATCCATGTCCGTGTCAATCTAGCTGATGCACCAGAGAGAACACCAACTCATCTTTGGAACAGAGTGCCAGTATGGCTCTCTGGGAAGCAAATTCTTAGAAGAAGGTAGGATTTGAGAGGTGTATGAGCTGGTGGGGAGTAGTTTAATGCAATGTGGAAAATGAAAGGGAGAGGCAGCAGTGCCTGTCTGTGACTGATTCGGGCTCAGTCATAAACTGGGGCTGCAGGGAAGACTTCAGCCACAATTTAAGAGTTGAGGCCCATCCAAAAAGTACTAACAGCCAGCGGGGTGTTGGCTTACTGTATTTCTCATAGCCGAATGTTGGGTTCTGTTAGGGAGGGAAATAGGCTTGGTTTTCCTTCTTGGTTGCCACAAATAGATGAGACTGCAGCCAATGGCTAATTTGTTTTGCCCAAGTTAGTGTGATTCGCCCAAGATCACACAAGATAGCAAGGGAGGGAAATGAATACTGGCCATTTCCCTAGATGCACTGTCTCATCTATTCTACCTGCTGAGCACAGATGCACATACATTTATTTATAAAAGAGGAGACCAAATACCATACTTGTTTTTCATCATCTTTGAGGCATATGTAGTAGAAATTCAAAAATATTTATCGAGTGATGAATACAAGACTTTTCCATTTGAGTTGTCTCTCTCTTGGAATAGCCATTGCATTGGGTAAATCTGCCGCTTAAGCCCTCTGTAGAGAACTGAAAAGCAAGCGTGTCACTTGGAGGACTAAGAGGCCATGGTATTTTCAGTTGCCTCGCATGCGCGGGAAATTTAGACAGTGAAGAAGGAAGCCTGAAGAAGTGTCCATGCATTTGAACTGTGGTGCTGGCAAAGAATATTCAAAGTACCACGGGCTGCCAAAAGGACAACCAGGTCTGCCTCGGAAGACGTACAGCCAGAGTGCTCCTCACAGGCAAGAAGGGTGAGACCGGGCCTTGCATACGGTGAGCAGGTTATCCGAAAAGACCAGTCCCTGGAAAAGA